TGCAGTGTAACTGACTATGTATTCTAATCTTAAACTGAGACTGCAGATTAATTTAGGAGCCATGAATATAAATAAAGATAAGTCCACAAGCTCAACATGGGATTCCTAGAATAATGGTGGTCTAAACATTTTGATAAGTCGCTGGGCTGATATCCGGCTAAGAGGAGAAGCAAAGGGATGCTGAGTTAAACTTGTCAGTAAATGTCTCTAAATATGCTACATGCACATGTTAAGCTATGGTTCCTACATGGGTAACAGGCAATGTATGTTTCATCATTTGCAAGTAGTGTATGTTACTATATAAGTTGCAAACTGCTAAAGGGTTTGTTTTTGTCTTGTTACCTTGTTGTTACAGCTACTTCTGTCTTTATCTCATCACAAATAACAGGCAAAGAGGTCCTCTGGCCATGGTCTTGTGACTTTCCTTAAGTATACAATATATTTTTATCACAGCTGTGACAGAACATGATGCAAAATATTAAAACCAATGATTAGATGAAGACCAAGAATAGACGTGTGCAATAATAAGACATTCAACACACTCAATATTGTACCATCACTGCATTTTAGACAATCAAGTTGTAGTTTTGCCACAGATGTCTTAGACCAGCAGAGAAGCTCTGGTTTCACAAGTTCCCGCTACGGTGTCACGAGTGTCAGATAAGGAGTCACTCCACCAAGGAGTGGGCACACCGCGACACTTGTGCTGGCCGGGACAGTGGACAGGCCAGGACTCCGCACGCCCCAGGAACTATGTTTGTGCTGTGTGGATGGCTGGGACCATTGACCCTTTAGGGGGGGCTGTGCGGCATCCACAAGCTGCACTGCCATGGGGAGCTTACGGGGGTGTGGCCATGCAGAGTGGCTCTCAGAGCGTGCCAGGCTCCTGGACAAAATGGACAATTATAGTTGCTGTTGTTGTTAGAGAAGTTGTGTTTGTTGGAGTGGTTGTGTCCGGGGAGGGTGGGCTGTGGGGTAACGTTGGGCTGGGCATTTTTTGTTGCCTGTTCAAAAGAAATGCTATGTCGGCTGAGTGTTCTTGTTTGCCGTGTAAACCATGATGGAAAGTTTGGTAATTATCGTGACACATTTTTTACATGGCACATGCCTCAAAAAGAAGTACCAACAACTGTGTTTACCGTTACTCTTTCAGTGTATTTTCTGTTTTTGGAGGCGAGAATTCTTTTCAGACGCTTTATATAAAACAAGCAGGAGACCCGTTTACCTCCCGGAGGTACAACAGTGTTGCTAAAATAGAGCAGACAGGCTTCATGCCTTTCTCTGTTGTCAGAGTTTGACACGCCATTATTACCCGTTTCACCTCATGTTTTGAAGACTTTAAAGTCCCACGCTAAGCGCTGCTGGCTCCGTGTTCCAGTCGCTATCCTGCGGTTATAAAACACTCGTTTCGCCCTCAGAGGAAGTGTGTGTTTGTGTGTGTGAAACGGTGCTTTCCTCGTTTACAGCTGACCAGACGAACCAACCTTATTATTCAGCAGGCACCGCGAGGCTCGGGAACACGACCTTTGGCCCAGTTTCCTCGCGCTCGGTTCACCGGGTTTACTCCGACACCGCTGACTCCCTCACACGCCCACCCACAGCCACGCACCCCGCCTCAGCCAATCGTGCCGCAGTCACGCACTGATCACGCGTCGCCTGCCACGCCATTGGTCGAGCTCTCACACACAGTCGCTTCTGATTGGTAGCATGTTGCCACCCGCCACTCTGTTGTGAATTTTGTTTTTCTTTTTTTTCTCCTGACTTGTTTTACTCAGCTGAGGCAGGACCTTACTGGTAAAAAGGGAATTTGAATTCCGGTCTCAGTCGTCACTGAACGGGCGTAGTAGCACTCACTCCTTTGTTCTGTTATTCCTCGTCTTGACGGTTATTTTTCATACGTTTTGAACGGATGTCAAGACGACAGTTAAAGAATATGGAAGAATTGTCTGAGGTAAGAACCAGTATACCATATATATGATTATTCTCATTATTATTATTATGTTTTTTTTCCCTTTTGCAACACTGACATCTGCTTTTGCTGTTTATTGTGGACTGGCACAACGAAACCATCCTTTTGTTGTTTATCACTAACTTAAACCAAATGATACATCATGTTCTTGTTTTTATAACGGTGTGTCAGGCTTTATGTAAGTGATTTTTAAGTGTTATTTGTAACTTTATAGTGATGAAGTGTATGAAATTTACATATACAACTGCAATAAAAAACAAAGGTGGACCTGATGTAATTGAAACTGACATTAACTGTGGTGTGTAAACAACTCTTCAGTTCTTAAATGTGTCTGTAGTGAGGCAGTTTGGGAGGGGCTTGGTGTGAATCATAACTGTTTCTGGCATAGGGAATAATTTGGCTTCTTGAGGCACGAAGCGCAAAGGGGATTTTTTTTGTTCATGACTGCTTCACATGGCTAGCTGGCGAGCATGTTGTTTGCGCTTTATTTGGCGAAGGGAGGAGACAAGCATATGATAGAAGGCCATGCGGAGCAGGGTGTATCCTCAAAGTCTTTTCACTCTTACCACAAGCTACTACTAGGGGTTAAAACAGGGGAAAAAAAGAGTCTTATTTAGGGACAAAAAGTTTTGTTTCAGGAGAATACACCATGTTTACTGAGTGTTCTCGTGTTTCTCAGGGAGCTCAGATGGAGGTCCATGGGGCATATCTGGAAAGGAGAAGGCATGACAGTGAGAAGTCCTCATGCAGCGTACCGGAGTACAATGACCTGGAGGCGGCCGAAGCCCTTGTCTGCATGAGCTCTTGGTGTCAGGTGTCCCCAAGACCCAACACCTTCAAACCTCGTCCTCTCACCCCAGCATCCGATTCCTGTGACTCCCTAATGCAACCTGAACTTCCAGAGACCCCCAGGGACTTTGTCTCACTCTCTTCATTGGTAAGGGAACTGAACTGATGCAAGCATGCTTAAGAAAACAATGTAAGCCAACCATAATCATCTGTAAGGTCTCCTTAATGTGTGAACACTTGCTGGACGAGATAGAAAGACAGGTGGCCTCATGTGTTATAGTGTGCAGACTATGGTTCTTTTCAGGGTCTGATTTGTTTGCTGAACTCTTTGGGTTGGTTTTATGGTAGCCCTGACAGGTGGCATTCTATAGATAAGCGTCATCTCCTGGGTGAACTTCAGCCTGAGTTTCAATTACTAAGCTCACCCACGCAGTACTGACACCCCAAGATAAACAAGGACATAGCAGTGGAGATAATTTTTATTGTCTGTTACGTAGGTCAGATTGCACAATGCAATTTTTCAGCACATCCATGAAGACACTGAGTGTACTACTGCTGTTCCTCATTCATATTGAAGATCTTGCTTTGTCTGGTTAACACTTTGCATCTTCTCTCTTGCACAGTGCATGACCCCACCTCACAGCCCCAACTTTGCTGAGACCTCCACTTCCCTGCCAGTGCCAAACTCTCCCTTGACCCGACAGTGCCCCAGTGTTTTCAGCTCCAGACTCCAGCGACCTGCAGCAGCCTCCATTACTGAGAAGACCCTTCAGGTTCCCGCTACTGACAAGCCGTCCTCCCCACCCTGCAGAGCCATGGCAACCAGCGTCATCCGCCACACAGCTGACAGCTCCCTCTACCAGAACATTCCACAAACTGTCCACCATCAGAATCCAGCCCCTACACAGATGCAGCAACCACAACAGACACCACAGCCAGATGTTCCATCACCAGCCACTTCACCCTGCCGCCCCCAGACAGACAGCACTGCATTAGTCACATGTCCCAACAGCAGCGCCCACTCCTCTAATGAGAAAGCCCCTTCCAAGTCATCTCCCTCTTCACCATCTCCCACCTCCAGTCCGCCCATCATTTGCCAGATGTTTCCAGTGGCTCAGCCAGGAGTCATCTCAGCAGCATTCATCCAGAGTCCAGCTCCGAGGCCCAGTTCTGGGGTTAAGTCCATCCTGCCACAGCCGCTCTTCATGGGCTCTCCAGTGACCCAGGGCACAGTGATGCTGGTGATGCCCCAGCCTTCAGTGTCTCAGACATCACAGTGTCCCCAGCAGACAGTTGTTACTCTGGGAAACACCAAGCTGCTGCCTCTTGCCCCTGCACCTGTCTACGTGCCATCAGGACAAAGCAGTGCCACGCAAATGGACTTCTCCCGCAGACGTAACTATGTATGCAGCTTTCCTGGCTGCAGAAAGACCTATTTCAAAAGCTCTCATCTCAAGGCACATCTCAGAACACACACAGGTAGGGGAGACTTGAATTTGGCCTTCATTGCTTGGTGTTGGTGTAGATGAAGACCAAGTACTGTAAGTGTTGCATTTCTCTAATAGTGTTTTTCACTCTTTCTGCAGGTGAGAAGCCCTTCAGCTGTAACTGGGAGGGCTGTGAGAAAAAATTTGCACGCTCTGATGAGCTCTCCCGCCACCGGAGAACACACACCGGTGAGAAAAAGTTTGTCTGCCCTGTTTGTGACAGAAGGTTCATGCGCAGTGACCACCTTACTAAGCATGCTCGTCGACACATGACCACCAAGAAGGTCCCCTCCTGGCAGACAGAGGTACGGAACCTCAACAAGATAACTACAGCCAAGGCTCTGGCCGCAGGCTCAGCTTTGCCAATCAGCATGCTGTTACCAGCCTCAAACTGAACTGGATTGGAGCTGAGCTCATTTTATACTGGGACTCTATTGGAGGACAAGGCTGCTAATTATCTCATGGACAAACGTGAACATGCACTGGACTCTTCCTTCTCTTCTCTTCCCTTCTACTGCTCGTTTTTGTATACTCTGTAATGAATGCAATGTTTTGTTTACTCACTTGTTACAATGATTCATGCACTCTTATTTTTGCCAAAGTCTTTGTACCATGTTTGTCTTAAAATTTAATCTGTGTTCTGTATATATTTTAATGTATATTCTTTCAGAAATAAATATTCTATACTTTACTGCCTAAATACAGGAAATTGTGATTAAAATGAGCTTATGAATTAATTATATACACTGTGATAATCATGTTGTTGCTTCTCTTTTATTTAATACTCATTTTCAGTAAACAAATGACAAATTAATACTCTATTCTTGTGGTTCTTCACTGCTGATGGTTTTGTGGGAGGAACCTCCCAAATTAAACTGACATTTTAACAGGGTCAAAGAGAGGAAGCATGGTGTTAAAAAAGATGTTAAGAGATGCCACCAGGCCTTCTTGTAGTCACGCTGTTTCCTGTCCAGTTTTGCTGACGCAGCTCTGGAGTATTTCCTGTGTGCTTGGGGCTGTGGATCTGTGTTCTCACATTCAGCACTAATCCAGATCAGGCGGCCAGTCCACATTAGTCACTCCACTCACAGCCGACAGGGCTCAGGACAGAGGAAATTTGGTGGAGACGTCACATTTCCACTGGATCTGTTTGGACTCTTTTATCCTAGACGAACACTGAGCCACATGTCCTGCTATACATAGGAACATAAGCAAACAATACACACAATAAACAATATAATTACATAGTAAACCGCGTTTTACATAGTGTTTAAACACTCGTTTTAAAACAGAGTCTATCATTTTTTGCTGTTGTTATTTATGTAGACTCCATTCATTTTTATGTTCATGAAAGCTACACTATTCATAAACACTGGCCGCCACACAGTCAATACAGATAAAGAGACATCATAAAACACGACTTTTAAGTATAACACAGTAGGTTAAATACAAATTTGAGTTGAAGAAAGAAGCTGAAATCCAGAACATCCTTGAGCTCCAGGCTGCCGTGCGAATAGAACGACGAACTGTTCATCCTCCTCTTTGGTGAAAGAAAAAAGGGGAGGGCAGGCATTACACGCCCAGTAACTACGCCTTCACGAACCAATCAAAATGCGAGATTGACCGGGCTAGTGGGAGGCGCGACCAATCAGCTTTTCTAAATGGTTCCCGCCCCTCCCGGTTTTAACGGCGCTTCATGCCGAGACGATTAGGATTAGAACTGCAACAGCGACACGCTGTGGACAGAAATGAAACTGCCTGTATTCTACAGATCTTCGCTGGTTTCATATGAAGGCGTTTTATAATCACTTCATGAATGATTTCTGACGATTACAAGGAAAAAAGTCTGCAACAGGCTGGGTTGTACTGAAACTAGGCCACAGCGGTGTCCTAAATCATTGTAGCACTGGTTGAAATCTCCGTGTAATTCCCTTGTTGAGAAGTAAACAAAGTTATTCAGATTGTTTTGTTCAGAAACTTATGATTCAGAATCGTTCACAATGGCTTTGACATGTACCCGTGGTCCGAAGTATTTAAGGCAGGGGTTCCAACCTCATCCACAAAGGGCTGGAGTGGTTGCAGGTTTTCAATCCAAAAACAGGACCAAGTACACTCACTGAGCACTTCATTGGGTACACCTACCTTATATCTACACTCATCAGCTCCACAGTTGCACTTTGTAGTTCTACAATTACAGACTGTAGCCCATCTGTTTCTCTGCATACTTTATTAGCCCCCTTTTACCCTGTTCTTTAAAGGTCAGGACCCCCATAGAGGTATTATTTGGGTGATGGATCATTTTCAGCACTGCAGTGACACTGACATAGTGTTTGTGTGTTAGTGTGTGTTGCACTGGTACGAGTAGATCAGACACAGCAGTGCTGCTGGAGTTTTTAAACACTGTGTTCACTCCTTAAACACTGCAGACACTTCTACCTTGTTGGCCCACCTTGTAGATGTAAAGTCAGAGACAGTAGCTCATCTATTGCAGCACATTTTCTGTTGGTCATCCTCTAGTTCTTCATCAGTGGTCTGTGGGGGTCCTGACCATTGAAGAACAGGGTAAAAATAGACACAATAAGGACATAATAAAATAGACAATACAAGGTATAATGTGCTCAGTGAGTGTATGATCAATTGTTTAACTGAAACCAAATAAAAAAACACAAAGAATCAGGTGTGCTCCTGTTTGGTTGGACTAAAAACCACAGCCTCAACAGCTTCTACAAGCTACTTCACAGAAAATTACTACAGTAAACAGTTACAAACATGTTGCCTAATGCTGTAGGTTTTATGACAATGTAGGTTTTATGACAAAGTTCTGACTTACAATATATTGTTTTTGTAAATAGTATCTTCTTATTTTGTAAAATATGCGACATCTAGCTTCACTGCTTGTTGTGATAAGAAAAACACAGTTGGTCACAATGTCAACAGTGCGAAAAACTACTTTTTCTTATCTAAGTAACCAGTGTTCTTAACAATAATATTGCAATACTAATACATTTCTTTAGAATGGAACATTTTTCTTTAAAATACACTGCGTGACTTTGGTTATTACTCAGTAAGGAGAGGTACTTCTCTAAACCAATTACATACACTGACATTCTGAAACATCTATGGAATTCTCCTTTAACCTGCTTTACTTTCTTGGTAAACCTGAGTGACTTTAGCCCAAATTGAAGGTTCTCCATTTAAAAGTTCCCTGACCTGTTCTCCTAATGGAATTGAGAAATTCTTTGTAAATCGAAATACCCCACTAGACCTGCTAAATAAAGAAGAAAACAACAGTAGGAGATACATTAGGGGGAAACTCGTAGAAGACAGTGAGTACACTTCTGAACTGAGGCTGGACCCATATTCATAGCCAAACCACTAAATATTTGACCACAAAGCTGTATTCCCTCTCCTCACCACTGGGCGGAGACAATTACAATCTGGTAAGCCAACATCAGGGCGCTGAAGGGGCCTTCATCCAGCCACTAAAACCAAACTCTGCTGATGAACATTCCAGTCCTGCTGGGTGGAGGGCTGCAGAGAAACTGTGGCCAGGAAATGGAACTTAAACATATATTCCAGACGTTGTACATTTTCCCCTCCTTTAAATGGCCAAACTCGTAGGCAAGGAAATACTGAATCTTTTGTTCCATAGTGAATGCAAATCAAAAGTATAGCACGGTGCAATGAATTAAAGGCAGAATGAAACACTGTTCCCTGTATAGGAAGCCATCTGTTCAAAGGTGTTACATAAATGAATTTATTGCTCTTTTTCGCAAAATATATACAGGATACAAGAAATTTGGCAAACATCTGCAAATATCATATAAAAAAGACATTTGTAACTTCTCTGAAAATATAGTTTTATATAGAAATTCCTCCCTTTACATGGCATTGAATGTTTTATATAAAAAAGGCTTATATTGCTTTAAGATTCTGGTTAAGTTTTGTGTACAGGAACTGCGTCCAAGATAAACCACATCAAAGGATCATTAAGTTAACTAAACTCTCTCTCTATTGTGTTCATTAAGTCTTCTTCAGAGGCATCATAAAAGACAGCCATTGCCAGAGAAGGGTGGTCACAAAGTCCGGGAATTCTAGAGAAGAAGAAAATATGAGTTTTTTTTTTGTTTAGTACGTCAGTAACGTTGCATCAGTTTGTCCAAACCATGTGAAGGTAGATGTAATGGAAAGCAATGGAGAATTTAGTAGGGAATCAGCCTTTACAATCATTCTCTCCTGAAAAGCTTAGATAAATCAAGCATGCTTTGGTCATACTACACCTGAGGTTTCATTAGCCAAAGGCCAGTCTATTGTTGGTAGTGTAGCTTGACTGATCAATAATTAATAGAAAGCAGGCTACTTACGAAGCTGCCTTTGTGCACACTGGATCTGCTCTCACTGGATCTCCTATCACTGGCTTCTGTGGAAAAGCATATCTTTACAAATTAACCTCTTCTTAAAATTCCCAGGCATATTACATCAAGGCTTATAAGATGCATGGAAAATTTGATAACTCTTATATCAGTATTTCCCTTCCGAGGTCCACCTGCACTACAGTTTCAGGTTTTCCCTGCTCCTGAGTCACATGATTAGTTAATACTCAAGTCCTTCTGGAGCTGAATCAGGAGTATTAGACCAGTAGAAAAAAATACCAGACTGTGCAAGTAGACTGAAGGACTGGATGTGGTTTACAGTGGCCTATATTAGTTGCCTATTTAAAGGGCACTCTGGCCTATTTGTTAGGTTGTTTGTTATGTTTTGTAGCACATCACTGCATCTCTCATCCTCACTGCTTTTTTATTATTTTTGTGTTTTCATTCATTGTTGTTCTCATGCAGCATTCAGCATGCATTACAGAAATACAGCATTCAACCACTGTGAATCCCTGTGGCACTATGCCCTAATATAGAGGCTAATAAAGACACCTGGGGTGCTAGCTAGCATTACTGATTTAGCACTGACCTCAACTGGTCAATAAACTTTTACAAACTTTTTATAAACTTTTAAGCTCTGAGAGTAAGCCACGCAGCTGAAAAAAAAACAAGTATCCAACAAAAGCACTTATAGTTTTCCAAAGTTTACTTCCACCTTCAAGATACATCATCAAAAAGATGGTTCTTCAACGGTTCTTTAGTAAAGGGAATGGTTCTAATTAGGACCATGAGTTCTATACAGAACCATTTCATGCTTAAATGGTTCTTTGCATGGTGAAATCGTTCTTCAGACTGATGGAGAATGTGGTGTATATGGTTCTATATAGAATCTTTTTAAAAATGGTTCTATGTAGCACCAAAAAGTGTTTTCCAATGTTAGCTTGACATCATAACAATAACACAAACTTTATTGGTGCTACACAGAACACGTTCTCCGTCAATCTGTATATTCTGTATAGAACTCCTGGTTCTAAATAGAATAAAGAACACTTGAAGAACCATTTTTTTAAGAGTGTAGTCTTTAAACCAAAAAATCTTGTATATTTAATTTGGTAAAGTTTTCATTTTGGCCAGAGTAAATGTTTAATATAAATCATTTATTTGACTGTAATTGTATTATATCATGTAATTATGTAGACTGACATCAGCTTGATACGGACCTGCTGGTGACATGACACATAAATAACCACACCATATTAACACGTAAGGGGCGGCACGGTGGCGCAGTGGGTAGCGCTGTTGCCTCACAGCGAGAATGGCCTGGGTTTGATTCCCGGCGGGGCGACCAGGGTCATTTCTGTGTGGAGTTTGCATGTTCTCCCCGTGTCTGTGTGGGTTTCCTCCGGGTACTCTGGTTTCCTCCCACAGTCCAAAAACATGCAGTCAGGCTGATTGGACATGCTAAAATTGCCCCTAGGGGGTGTGAGTGTGTATGTCTGTCTGTCTGCCCTGCGATGGATTGGCGACCTGTCCAGGGTGTATCCTGCCTTCCGCCCAATGACAGCTGGGATAGGCTCCAGCACCCCACTGTGACCCAGAAGGATAAGCAGTTTAGATGATGTATGTATGTATATTAACACGTGGGAACTCAATTAGCTTAATAATACTATTGATCATGCCTTTTTACAGAGCCACGCTAGTGACAAAAATAAAAATAATGTGTGGCTTATTAACACGTGGGAACGAGATCCTAATGCGTGGCCACGACATAGTAAGGTGTGGGAAAGAGATAATTGTCATGACCACGCCTTACTAAGTCATAGCCACATATTTAATTCCCATGTTTTACAAAGTCATGGCCACTCATTATTTTAATTTATGCAGGATGTCACCAGCGGGGCTCCGTACCTTATTAAGCTGTGGTCAAGACTTAATTATTTCATTATTGCTTCATTAAGCCAGATCGCGTTCCCACGCCTTACTAAGTCGTGGCCACACATTATTTTTATGTACATGAGATGTCACCAGCAGGGCTCTGTAGTTTGACGGTTATTTTGGGCTGGTTTACTTACAGGATTGATGCCGTGTCTCTCAGAGTTATGAAAGTCCCTCCTCGCTCCTTCACTCTGAGTCAGTCTGATGTTCCCTCTGTTGTGGATGGTTTCGCTCCCATTCTGACCGCGTTTGCCGTAGCAGAGCCCGCAGGTCTCAGAGCTGAAGAGACCTTTCTGAGAGAGTCTCTTCTTCAGCCCCCCGTCTGTGCTTTCACACGCTTCGAGGATCCTCTCCACCTCCTCCTCAAGCTTCTCCCCGTCGGATAAAAAATCCGATTCTCGGCTCTGTCTGCGACGGTTTTGCTGGGATCTTCTCAGATCTGAGGTCTGAGCTTTGTGCGAGCTGAAGAGGCGACTTCCATCCACATTCCTGCTGTTTTCCGTCACGAGCGCAGGTGCTACTCTCTTTGCTCTGCTAGCAGCGCTGCCCATTCTGCTCTCGGGACTCTACTGGAAACAACCACAGATGAGGCCAGCTGGGCTCCACGGCTCGGTCTAAGGCGAATCATGAGGAAAACCTCATCTTTTTTCACAGGAATCGTGTGAAAACATGACTTTTATAGCGAGTAAAAGTCGACGGCAGCGTGGCGGGCTACCAAAAATGGATCCAGCTGAACTGTCAAAAACAAAGTGACTCCAGATGAGTGTCAAAAACCAAACGCACAACGAGGAGACGAAAAAGCTGCAAACGTCCACGACAAAAAAAGCGTTTTCTTGCCCTCCACCCTGAGAAAGAATAAAACTAAAACCAAAAGCGAAGTGAGAGAGAGAGAGAGAGAGAGAGAGGGATGGACACAGTAGAAAAGCATGTGTTGCTTTTCTTGCATTCCACTCTCAGCAAAACAGCATCTATGTGTCCGAGCAGCAGTGAGAGAGAGCAGCCATCTGGACGCGTGGTGGGCTGTATGAGTTACACAACAACACAGCTCCACACTCATCTGACACGAAAGTATTCCAGCAGAAGAACGAGAAAAAATTATAGAGCCCTGAAAAGCCCTGCGTTTCCACTCATCTGAAGTAGATCACCCTGCTGAAAACAAGACATTACAATCATTAGAATTATACGAAACCCTGATGGTGACATCCTATATAAATAAAAATAATGCGTGGCCACGCTTTATTAACACGTGGGAACGAGATAGTAAGGCCTGGGAATGAGATAATTAAGTCGTGGTCACTGCTTAGTAAGGCATGGGAACGAGATCATGCCTTACTAAGTCGTGGCCATGACTTAATTATCTTGTTCCCATGCCTTACTAAGTTGTGGCCACGCCTTATTAACACGTGGGAACAAAATCCTAATACGTGTCCACAACTTGGTAAAGCCTGGGAATTAGATAATTAAGTCATCGTCACCACTTAATGGGAATGAGATCATTCCTTACTAAGTCGTGCCCACACATTACGATCTCGTTCCCATGCCTTACTAAGTAGTGGCCATGCATTATTTTTATTTACTTTATGTTATTAATTTATGTCACCAGCGGGGCTCCGTAGGTTTAAACCTGGTGTTTTTGCTTCCTAATTAGAAATTGACTCTACGGTTATCATTAAAGACGACTAGTTTCCTGTATAACACTTTTAGATCCTATTAGGAAACCATCAAATGCATGTGGTATCAGTCACAGAACACCTATTAAACAATTAGAATCCCACTCTGTGATATCAGCTAGGGCTGAGTGATATGACAATATATATATATTTATTGTGATAAATTATGTCAGAATACAATACAATATGCTCTTCTGAACATATCAGTTCTTGTAGAACACTGACCAATTGTATGTTTCATTATAAAGAGAGCAAAATTAGTCCCATTTAACCACATTCAGTGCAACACGGCATGCTAAATATTGAGTATAAATCATCATTATATTCACAGCATTTGATAGTATTTTTTAAAATGTAGCTCTGCTGGTTCTTTTTTCTCTGTTCCAACTGATCAGATGTCTGTAAAAATAAATATTGTGATGGATCATATATGGTGAAAATTTCTTAAAGTATCGCAATATTATATTTTTGCTATATCACCCACCTCTAATATCAACCCACCGTTAGGATTGATAGGACTTGAATAATTACTTCCATCAACAGCTATACAATCCTGTATGGAAGCCCATTCCCACCAAGTAGAAGAGACTAAGTGCCAATTCGTTTTCCCCCTCTTCTCCGTTTCCTGTAGCAGTACGTCCAAAAATTACATTCCTTTTTTTGAAATTGTGATGTATTCTGTTCAAATATTCACTTATTTTTCAAAAATGTTGACTTGGTATCTTGAAATAATGACTTTGACATAGTATACTGTAAAATTTTGTTTTAGTGGCTTTACGTCTTGGGATATGTAATTATTTTGAGATAGATCAAAATTTTGACACACTGCTGCAGGAAACAGAAGGAAAAAACAGTTGTCCTCTATCTGGTGGGAACGGGTCTTCATTGGTCCTTAGTCTTGGAGTCAATTTGGAGTTATTTTCTTCATCAATATTATAGTTTCTTTTGCTTCATTTTGAGATAATAATCCATGCAAGACACCCCAGAAGAGGATTTCTAGGCCTAAGGAACTGCTTTGTTTGGCCACTCTGATTAAGTTCTCTTCTCTGGTTATTGTATGTGATCTGGATTGGATCTCCTTATATTACAGCAAACTGTAAACTCTGGTCCAGTCATGTTGAAATACACTCCTCACACATCTTCAGTGATTATGAAAGTAACACTGCCTGACACGACACACTTACATGTACTGATTTATTTCCAAGGTGCAAGTTAATATCAAAAACATATTAGCAGAGCATTAGCTTACAAATAAATATGTAAACATGTTGGCTGACCGAGCATGATACAAATATATTATTTAAATCTATTTTTACACAGCCAATGATGCCAGTAACAAGAAACCCTGAAAATAAGAGCCCACATCTAATACTATCATCAGTTTTTCATGAAATCTAAAACATTCTACTGCTTCTTTACATATGATACCCAGAGGCTAACTAGTAGCTACGGTTTCAGAGGGTAAGAAGGGAAGTAAATCAGTTTGCCACAGCTGTACTGCACAGTACTGCCGTAGCTACTGCATAGCAGTATTCAAATATGTTTCAAATATATTTTCCCTGTTCCTTAATCCCACAGCAGTGCATCTTACTGATGCTGCTTCTAGAGGCCTGTAAATATGCCTTTAAACCATACAAGCCTACACTGTACCATTTGCATCATTTAGCATGTTTTGAATCTTTTAGTAGAGACTTCTCTACATTTTCTTGGTAACAGGCCTGACATGTAAAGGTTGCTGCATGACATGACAGTTTTTCATAGTTACTGAATGACACAACGTTCATAGGACTGCTCTTCGCTGGGGCTGTTGCTTAGGGTCTGGGGCTTTCTCTTGCCCTTACATGGAGTAGCTGAGCCGTGCTCTATGATGTGCTGCAGTATCTCCTTGCTCTCACTAGGGGGCAGGTTGTAGAAGAAATACTGAGGAGCCATCTGGATGAACCTGTTCATGATGAAAGAATACAGAATAAAAATTTTTAAATTGAGCCATTTACAGATATTAACATTCCTTATTTGCGTTAGGGATGCAATTGCCTGAAGACTGTTAGTCATTAGTTCAAAACAATGTGCAAGCTGCCACTCAGATCATTAAGTGAAATTCAGGTACGACTTAAAAGCAACTGAGATCTTGGAGCCACTTTGGGAAATGTGTGGAGAAGAAAATTCCAACTTGGTTGTCTGTGGACAGCAGTGAAGGATGTGTGGGAGGCAGTACTTTAAATAGCTTTAGGAAAGTATGGCATGTGAGGTTATTGTCTTCAAGACTAGAAGAGTTAAAAATGCTAGTGAACACAACGGTGTCAAAATGAATTTGAAAAATGATTACTGATACAGCCAAAAATGAAGGTGAAATAGGAAATACACACTAGCAATGGGTGTGATCCGGCTTCTGAGTGAGTTTTCTCAGGCCGTAACCCAAATAACTCCATAATGTTGTATTTGAATGATGTAGAATTTATTAAAGGTAAAGCACTGATCACTGTTCTACAATAAAGACATACTGAAATATATAATAATATATGGGGGATGTTCTAGTGCTGGCAAAGGGCACTTTTCTGTTATGACAGCAGCTGTTTTTTGTAGATCAGAGAGGTCAGATGAGCACTTTGGAACGAAATGCATTTTAGACATTTAAATAATAAACATTAAAAAGACATACATAAACACATCAATCCATTCTACATTAAAGTGTCAGTTCAGTTTTCCCCTTAAGAATCTATTCTGACAGATGCTCAAGAATGCTAACTTCTACTAGCGTCCCTATAAGATTTCTCAGTTCTCTTGTATGTTAGCACCACGCTAACAATGGTGTGTATGCACTGGCCCAAAGAGCATTTGCTTTGGAAGAATCTGGATCAAGGTAGAATCTATTTGATGACCTGGTTTATATTTTGTATTGCGTTTAACAGAATTTTCTAGGTTTTCTAAATTTCACACTGCTTTGTCTTACTTCAAGTTTTTCAAAAAGGAACTCCAACTCATTTTTCACTGCTGCCCACAGAACACCCGTAGTGGTTGGATTTTTCTTCTCCATTTCCCAACATACCCCCACAAGATCAGAGTGGGTTTTACATGGTGCCTGAATTTCACTCAACAAACTTGTCACCATGTTGTGGTTTTCCTCCTATGAGTGAAAAGGCTGGATGAACACATCAAAAACAGTCAGCGTTTGACTGAACTGCATGTGGCCATTTTTGACTGCCAGTATGTAAAACTGATAAAACACCCAAACCTTCCACAATGAGTACCACTAAAATACTGAGACACAGCACATTTTACAATAGAGATGCTCCAAAATATTACGAGTTTGTATATTAGACCCTTTTGACCCACTTTTCTAACAACACAGTGGATCCTGTTCTCCCTCTCTCTCCAAACATTAGTTCCACACATTAAGCCAGCTGCCTCTGTGTAAGCAGGGTGATATTCACAAGCCTAAGCCTCTTTGCCTCTAACAGTGCTGTGGCAGGATGTTACATATTTGCCCCGTATCAAACCGCATTGCCTGATAAGCTGCTGCAGATGGCACAGAATGCTCACTTAATGGATTCAGTTTGGCTCTCTAGTGCAAAACAACCGTTAACCCTCCAAATCCCACACAAGGCTTGAGTGAGTTTGATGCTGAAGAAATGGTAATACTAATTCAACTGCAGACAACCTCATGGATGTCATAGCTAAAGAGGAGGTGGCATATGGAACAAATGGATCTCAAATAGAAAAGCTTGAGCTACTGAATTTCATTGTTGTGTGCAAGTTTTCTGTCTGCACTCTTAAAAATAAAGGTGCCAAAAAGGGTTCTATAGAAGAACCAATATTGATTCCCTAAAAAACTTTCAATGGATGGTTCTTTGGAAAACCTTTTTTTGTAATGAAGATGTATGAGTGTAAATAACCTTTTAAGTTTAAAGAACCTCAACATAATGTTAAGGTTATCTGAAGAACCCTTAAATTGATATAGAACCTTTACATTTGAGGCAGTTCTTCAATGTTTTAAAAGGTATTTCACATTTACAAATCTCTTTTTTCATATGGGATTCTTTAGGGAACCAAAAGTGGTTCTTCTCTGGGATTCAAAGAACCCACTGTGGAACCTTCTTTAAGAGTGTGGGAATAAAGTAAAAACAGATGCCCTTATAAGATATACAGCCAAGATTTTATAGCCCAAACAACACTGACACATTAGCATACCCCAATGCAAAAAGAACAATTATGTCATTATTAAAGGAATATTACTATTTATTTCAACTCGTCTATCTTCCCCACTTAAAGCTTATGGTCGATTACCACAGCCAATCATTTTGATTCATTCCTGTTCGTTCCTATTCCATTCACTGCAGAAGCTAATAGCAGGTGCTGATGCATTCTTTGACAACAAGTTTTCCGCTTGTTTCAAAGTACAGGGTAAATATTGTCTGTGGTAACTGACTGGTAGATAGAGATTGGGTTGAACTACTTTTTAATAGTTGTTCCTCTAAATGCACCCAGCATTAAGCTTCAGAAGGTGGACTTACTCATGTGCTGAAATCTCTGTGACTGTTCTAATGCAGTTATTCTCAGACAGCATGTGCTCGTGGTAAAGAACCCACTCTGGAAGCTTCAGCTTGGGGGGCTCGGTTCCATATCCAGAAAGAGGGTGGATCTGAGCCACATGCTTGTGGGTAAGCATGAAGTAATTCCCTGTCCCATCAATGTCCCTGGCGACCTGGAATAATGAGTAAACAGATGTACTTCAATGATCCCCAAAGGGAAGTTTGGGTGCTACAGTAAAACACTGATGTTATGTACATATATATGAACAACAGACACATAACAACACATAGTACACATATCTTTACATAGACACAGTGCAAAGACATCATTACATGGCATGACAAAGTGCAGAAGACAATAACATCAAACTGAAGCCTTCACATTTAGTGGTGTGCATCTAAATAACAACAAACAAAGGAACAAATCACAACACATGGATGAAAAATACCTAAGTATGATATATAAATATAGCATGTGGGTTATTAGGGGTGAAAATCTTAATTAGTACACAATGATTTGATTATGATACTTTAGAAAAAGATTTTGTGCATCAATGATTCAAATTTCACCACATTTGAATAAATTATTTTAGTATGATTCAGGGTTATTTAAAAAAAAATGTATGGCATACACAAATCTGACTGAAGGAACTACTTACTGTCCACCTCTCCTGAATACTGACATCCTGTGTCTTGTTGTTTGTCTTGTTAATGGGCTCTATTTAATCCCATTCTCTCAGACTAAGTGTGAAGCCTTGCACCTGCCCAGGTGCCTGTCATGTCGCCAGTCTCTTTGGTGTTGCTTAGCTTAGTTTTCTTTCATTTTTTATTAGTTCTGGTATGTTTGATTCTGTTTCTATTTGTCCATCAGCATCAGCATCGTTCTTTGCATTATTACTATTTTTTTTTCCATCACTGACATTTGTCTGTGCACTGGTATTAGTGTCTGCCTGTGTGTTTTGTGCTAGACCTTCTGTTTGTCTTTTTCTAAATCCTGTTTCAGTTACTCTGTAGCTGTTATCTTAAGTTAGTCTAGCCTTGCTTAGCCTTCCATTGTTCCCTTATTCTTGGTATTTGGTTATTGATCCTTTCTGCTATTGTGTCACTTATTTGTTTTTTCCTTTCTTCTATTAAATCTTCTGCAACAGTACGGAAAACCCTCCCAGCCTGGTTTGGCAATGACATTAACATAATAGGGAAATATGGTAATACACAGTTATTTTGGACTGATGAATGTTTACACCCCTAAATGGTTTATTAAATTATACACAGATTAAATGCTAGATGAAATCCTTCAGGTCTGGGTGAGATGGTAGGCTGGGAACTCGCTCAATAATACTTGCTCAATAATACTGGCTTGCAATACAGTAGAGTTTAAAATCCGCTACTTTGTAAAAAAATACACTGGTTTATGAGGAAAGAACAACTCAGCATCCAAGTCAAACACGTGGCTTTGTTGAAGTTTATCAAGCTGGCTGTATGATTTATTATGAGTGCAAGATCTCTCAGGTTGCTCTGTCAGTCTAACGATTCTCTTTCATATTATTTTTGACCCGTTTGCAGTTTTGAGCATTCTTGAACTTCATCGTCATTATTATTTGTCTGAGCTTCATTTTATCTGTGCCTTAGACTGGAAAACTCCTGAGTTACTCTTCCTCCAAAGCCACAGAACTCTTCCCTGGCATAAATAAACTGCCGTGCATTGCTGAACCAACGTTGACACTGATTCCCTGCTCTGTAGTTCATCAATGTAACCTGTGATCATTTCAAACTCCAGGAGAGTCTAATCTGAGCCTGATGGCTATACCTGCATGAAGAAGCCAGCCAGCAGGGCTCGTCTGATGTTTAGCGTGTTGGTCTTGGAGCCAAAAGCTGGTGAGGATACTGGTAGCTCTATCCGTTTCAGGATCTCAATAAGCTCTGCTCGAACTGCATCAGCTGTTTGTAGAGCAGTCAGACTGAGGAAATGATCACCACACCAGCGCTCTATGCTGGAATCTGAGAAAAAAAGGACCAGTTATGTTAAGTTCCAAAATCATTCACTGGTGAATTTGCTCTAGTCCTTTAAGCTTATGCAAGCAATTTTTCTGGAAAACAGCAAAACAGTTTAAAATACACTGAATTGCCAGTTTATTACCACATACGTGCACTTTGTAGGTGCACATATGTGGTAATAACAATTTCTGACTGTAGCTCATCTACTTCTGCACATTTTATCAACCGCCTTCTACCCCATTCATCAATGCAATGGTAACACTCAGCAATGCTGATCTGCTTGATATGTTTGTACCACTGTCACACACACTAACATGTCACTGCCATGTCAGGGTCACTTCTGTGCGAATTGTCCACCGCCCAAATAATATGTGATCAGCGGACTGTTTACATTGATAAACAGTGTATATGGTGGCGAATTGGTTAGTAATGGAAATGTACTGGCAACTAAAATTGCATAAATTATAGTGACCACTTTACACAATGTTAATGCTTATACTGAGCCACATGAGTGTTTAGCCTTCATGTCACCACACACAGTGACATGACTACAGAATACAATGCAATTTGATTCTCTCACTTCTGTTAACACTGTTTTGAATCATTTAAAAATTCTGCTTTGCTCGTATTTCTGTTTTTCACTGTTTTGCTTTGTTCATATTATGTTTCTTGACTTACATGAGCTGTACTGGCTGTGTTTGTAGGCGTTGTAAACGTTGATGAGGGTAAAGTGGTCACCCTCAGCATGATGGAAGCTCTGATGGCACTCCAAAGCCTCCTGTTTGAACTCCACAGGAGGGGCCAGGAAACAGCTTGGAGCTGAGGAAGAAACACAGAGGAGTAAAGTACACAATATATAATTTGTTCATCAGTATTGCAACACTAACTTCTGCTTTAAAAAGGTATGTATCTTAAAAATATATAGGTTTGAGTCCTACTGACAGCTGCACAAAACTAGTATGGATATTACAAAGACATATGATCCCAGGATAAAAGGATACTGACACAGTCTTCACTCAGAACATGAACTATTTTTGCTCTTAACTACTCAGATGGATTAATTTAAATGAGTGCAAACGAAATAGTAAAGGCTAAAATGCCTTTACATTGTCTATAAATGTGTCTACACAGAACATAAAAATATCACTCAAAAAGATTAAGTAATAATTAACTTTATAGAGTAATGTGTGTTTGCATATGACACATTTTGGGTATTGTGTCTGCTGGTGTTCATTGTTTGTGCACTACTTATTGTGGTGAATTGTGGGAGTGCACTGGATATTCTCCATTGTGTTGTTACAATACAAAATAGACTCCAAATAAAGCGCACTAGATAGTGAATAGGCCATAGTTTGGACATAGATTACAGATGCAATTTCTGTCTATTAGGCTGGCTGTAATTACCTGTTAACATGGCAACAACGGTCAACACCTCATTCACACAGTCAAACTCGCAGGATGCCAGCAGAGTCTTAGCCATCTGAGGCTCCAGAGGAAATTCAGACATTATTATCCCAATCTCTGACAGATTTCCATCATCATCCAGAGCTGCTAGGTAGTCCAGTTCTTCTAAAGCCTGCATGAGACCCTCAGGATCTGTAAGTGGGATAGAAATTTTTTAATGAAAAATGTGATATTTCAGAAACCCGAGTCTCCCGCAGATAATGTATTACAACGCAACATAGGGACAATGTGCTTGAAGGCATGGCTGTTGAAACAAAATGACAAGCAAAATAAACATGTCCAAAAGATGTTCCCTTCCACAGGCATCACACTGAACTAACTGCAGCTCTCAGGCACTGTGCCATTTTCACAATAGCATCTCCTGTGTTTCCTCCAGTCCATCATTACTGCATGCCCTTCTGAACAGGCATTCCCCGGTCCCTGCTTCTGCTAATGATGTGCTTTGCTCTAGTGCCCTGGTGGACGGCTCCTGGAGCTGCAGGCTGCCAGAAGCAGGTCATCTCTGGAACAAAGAGCCCAGTTAGAGTGCTGTCGGCTCAGCTAAAGCACGGCTCGACGCCTTCTAATGCAACCAGAGTGTAGCACAGAGGCCATCTGTAGCAGATCTGCGGGCCAAGAGGAACCTGGCTGACCCTGGCCAGCGCATGCCGAGGGAAGGGAGCAGCTTATTCCCGCTGAAGCTTGTCAGACAGGAGCTGCATGAGTGTTCAGTTGAGTAAATACCATGTGACCTGTGCGCGATATTCTCCAGACTAATGCCTGTCATGCTGACAGGCTGAAAGTAGTTTTCCTTCAGGTAGACCTGCATCTTATTGTTTATAAGAAATAATGTTCAGATACAAAACAGGTGAACCCTGATAAGAGTGTTAAGAGTGCAGTTGTTTCCTATACAGGGTATAATCTCAAGAGAACGTTAAAAAAAAATTGTATAAAATTTTATATACACAATACCATTTGAAAGTCTGCAACTATTGTTTTCATGTATAAAATAACTGTAATATGCACAAATTCACAAGTCTACACTTTCATCTGATGTCTAAGATTTGAAAACAATATTTTCAATGATATAAAAAATAATTTACAGTATGTGTAAAATAATTATAACATGTGCAACTTCACTTTCAATTTTCACATAATTGGTAAAAAAGCTAGAAAAAACTTATATACTGAATGAAGTTATAATAAAATTAAACTCTTGAGGGAACTGACTTGATAAAAATATTGTAAAACCATAATTACATTACATGATATATTGTTTAATACTGTCAGTCCCTGAGTACTTGACATACTGAATATAATATCTAAATATAATCTTGATGCGGGGGGGGGGCAATATGGTAATATGTATTATTATCGTGATAAATTATGTCACATTGCGTTATGGTTTCTGAGCACACTGTAGAGATTGTCTGTGCTTAAAGAACACTGACCAACTGCATGTTTTAATACAGAGAACACGATTAGTCTTGTTAAACTGGATTTAATTCAATGCTGAATGACTAATTTTCATGATGCATAATGATTTAAATGTAGGTATCAACCTCTAGAGACAGTAAACCTTATATTCTCAGCCTCCTAACTACATAAATTGACTGATACCTGTATAGTACATCTATTATTAAGATGTTAGCAACAACAGCAATTTATCCAGTTTTGAATTTCTTGTCTGGTAATCATACTAATTACTTCATACAAAATTAGAAACTTAATTTTTTCTTTATTTAATAGTTTAACACCTAGAAAGTCTCTCTCATACAGTTAAATATGCATAAAAACACAAAGATGATCAGAGAGAGAGTGAGTGAGAGCAAGAGAGAGAAAGAGAGAGAGCAGTGTCAGGTTGTGTTCTGTGATTACCTGACAGGACAAAGTTCTCTGAGGATGTTATAACACCAGAAATTAGAGTGAGAATTTTTACAAGTGAGTTACAAGTAAGTGTTAGCAATATCTGTTTTGTCTGAATACAGTGTGCACAACAAAAAATTCACATAAATGAACATATCTGAGCATATATATATATATATATATATATATGTCTATGTATCTGAGCGTGACAGCGTTATTGGCCACAGTTTATGTGTTTTAGACTAAATTTCCTGTATCCCAGTCTTATACAGCTAAAGGCCTCCAAAACTGTCACAAAACCATATTTAATACGGGTAAACTATGTGGGTTGACACCTATGTAAATGTCTTTAATTTCTGCAATACCGTCCACCCCTATTTTGGTGTCTAGTTTATGAGATAAATCTGCGCTGTTGTACAAGTCATTATCAGACATAAAATTAAAACTATTAACATAACAAATTATTCCAAACTTTTAAACTGTAATGTGTGTATGTGTGTGTCTCACCTGGCCTATCGATGAAGTCACAGTGGCCGAGGCCAGCAATCTCCATCCTCTTAAGGAAAAGCACAGTGGAAGTGATGTCAGACTCCAGGATGTGAGGAACACTTTCAGCAGGAAGGGATGTGGCCTCCGGATACAAACAAAAACACTTCCCTACAACCAACACAATCTTGATTAGACACGGGGAGAGGCTACCAAAGGTGAAAGGACTGACACTGTCCTTGAATAATATGAACTTTAAGAAAACAACACCTACCTGTAGGTTCAACCAGCTGTTTGCGGCTCTCTGCTTGGCTCTTGCTGATTGGACGAATGACAATGGAGTTGGCTCTGACTCGAGGGTTGTACACCTGTTACATAAAACAAGGTGCATGTCACCTTTTTATTATTATATCCTTTTTTTATTTATATATTAGCTATAGGCTTGTCAGAGTTGTTACACATCACTGTCCACTGGTAACTTTACAGAAGAGTACAAAAACATTATTGTTAATGTTAATGTAAAGAGATTTTATTTTAAGTAATTTTGGAGCATATCTATTGGCACTTCATCATGAATTTTTACACAAACCCTATTTTACCTTGTTCTTCAAAGGTCAGGACCACCACAGGGCAGGTATTATTTGGGTGGTGGATCATTCTCAGCATTGCAGTAACACTGATGTGGTGGTAGAGTGTTAGTGTGCATTGCGCTGGTATGAGTGGATCAGACACAGCAGTGCTGCTGGAGTTTTTAAACACTGTGTCCACTCCACCTTGCAGATGGAAAGTCAGAGACAATACCTCATCTGTTGCTGCACAATTTGCATTGGTCATCCTCTAGTCCTTCATCAGTGGTCACAGGACGCTGTTGGCTGGATATTTATGGTTGGTGGACTATTCTTAGTGACACTGAGGTGTTTAAAAACTCCAGCAGCACTGCTGTGTCTGTTCCACTCGTACCAGCGCAACACACACTAACACACCACCACCATGGCAGTTTTATAAAGGGGATGACTTTTGCAATCCACTTGCACCCCTCTGAAATTAAGCCCTGCACTTAATCTTACACATATGAATTAACTGCATACACACCATACCATACTTTGGCAAACACTATAGAAGTAATTAACCATATGGAACCGAGCGCCCTGCTGGTGATCCTTTCTGAGAATTTGGCAATGGTCCCAGTGTAGTAAAATGTATTAGTGAGTAGAATCAGAGCTTTCAGTGTGATATCATGTGTTCGATCACTGTGTAAAAGATGCACATGGCTGCCTTTATTGTTATATGAACTGCCTGATTTTTTTTCTGCGCAGTCGTGAAAGCTCATTCAGAGCGGAATTTGGATTGGTAAGAGCCTATAATTGACTGGTTTATCAGAATAATGATAAAATGCACCAATTGTGTGACTTATATTCCTGTTCATGTGTTTGTTTGTTCAGAAATGTATTTTATGAGACAAATAAAATGAAAATCTATTAAATTTCGGCTTTGTTACATTCCATTCTTTACATCAAATAAATACAACAACAGCACTGAGAAATCTCATTATTAACAGAGAAGAGCAGATTAAACGTACATATCTCTTTTGTACTCCAGCATCGATGATGAAGCGAATGCTATGGAGGGCCCAGAACAAGTTTTCAGTGGGGCCGCAGGTGAGAAAAACTCTCCTGCACCTGCTGTCCTCCTCAGTGGGCGTAGGTAGGCTGTCTCCTTGCTCTGGACAGAGGGACACGGGAACTAGCTCACCTAATGAAGAAGCCAGACTGGCCCCTTCCCTCCGCAAGATGGCATAAGCGCATTCAATCTCCTTGGAAAAAGGGAATACAGAGAAAATGTGAAGACGTTTGCTTGAGTTTCCATGGAAACAGGACCATTTACACACCTAAGCCACATTCTCAAACGGCAGATCAATGACATTTAGGTACAGCCAGCAGCCTGCAGTGCTTCACATGGGTCCACAGAAACCTGAAAAGAACTTTGGACTAAAAAACTTTCATTTCACAAATACACTCTAAAAACTAAAGGTTCCTATATGGTTCCTATGCTTGATGCAGATTGTATATTGTATATTTTTATATTACCTGGATGTCCTTTAAACTTTTAAAAGGTTCTTAACACTCACGAATAGACGTATAAAGTTTTTTATGGAACCAAAACTTCAGATGTTTTATTCCACACCTGCCAGCATACTGTGCTACCCCAATATACATTTGCCTACCTTTGTAAAAAAAAAAAAGATGCAAAACTTTTTGCAGTTAAATTACAATAGACATACATACAATAGATCTAATTTTTCAATATTTAACCAAAACAGCAGTTTGTCATGTGACATATTATTGTTGTGATAATTATTTGCAAATGCAAAACATTAAAAATATCAAAATATTTAGGTGAAGCTCAGTACATAGATGTAAACGACATAGCCAGCTAGTTATGTTTATATTTTTAGTGCAAGTCAATGTAAAATGTTTCTCTTTTTGATCATAAGGAATTTATGGCTACAAACAGAACATTTTAGGATGTTTTGGTGTTTATTAAGTTTTGTGATTATTAAGACAAGTGAAATTTGACAGGCTACACTGATTATTTTGTTACATTTGCTTTCAGTTGAAATGATCAAGCTGGTTAAAGCTTTTCGTGTGCCGCCAAAGACTGGTCGGTTGCATGGGCTGCAAGAAGCAAAAGTTTGGGAACCCCTGTTTTAGAGGATATCCTTCAGGAATAAAGTAATGAATACATTAACTCTAACATTTTCATATGGCGTTTACTGTTTAGATGACAGTGCTGGTGTTAGGAGGCTAAAATCTGCCGAAGAACATCAATGGATTTTCATGTCGGTTGAGTAACGGAGGCTGACTTAGCAGATGAGCTAATGGGCTAACAGAGCTAACCTGTTACTTGGATGCTGATGAGCACAAGGTGTTTTTTTCTCAGTGGGCGATGTGTTTGTTTGTCAGAGAAAAACATTTTCACTATCACTGTTTCTAACATGAGCTAGAGTAGGAAGCATAGTTAGCGATAAAACCATGCTATCTCTGCCTTCTCAGTCACATCCTAAACAATACATCCTTGGCAATGTGCTCAAGTTAAAATACTTCTGTAGTTTCATAACTTACTTATAAATATCAGAAAACAATACATGTTACAGTCCTATCAAAATATAAAATCGCTGTATTGTTAGCCTGTATATTTTCTTCTTATTTCTCCTTAACTGCAATATTCAAAACACGCTTTTACTTGTTCAGTAGCCAAGCAAGTAAAAGGGAGTCTTTCATGGTCTTTTAACTGGTGAATTTCTATTTGTGGAACAAACTCCTTTCTAAAAATACTTAAAAAATTACTGTTCTCAGTCTAAAATGTGTTGTTTATCATAGACACTATCAGATATTTAGGAATAAATTAATAACCACACATACTCTCAGGAAGAATATACAGCAGTTTCTGCAGTTTTGAAAACACCCTCTTACTTGCTCAGTAGCCAGAAATGCGACAATGTTTCCTTGGTCTTGAGTCTGGTGGATCTCCATAGCCAGTCGAAGTGTGGAACATAGATAATCCTTCACACCTCCTCTTTCAGTGCCATACACCACCTCAGATGGCCACATTGCTTCTAGCTGGATCAGGGGAACGTTTCCGTAGTGGCGCAGCAGCTTGTCGGAGGAGTGTGGGGCAGTGATGATGACCAGACGAAGTTCAGGCCGTGAGAGAAGTACGTCTTTGAGCAGGCCCAGTAGGAGGTCCGTGCTGACAGTGCGCTCCTGAGCCTGATCAATCACCACCACACCGTACTGCTCTAGCAGAGGGTCTGACATCATCTCACGAAGCAACACATCATCAGTGCAGTACCTGCCAGGCATCATCATTCAACATTAACACACAGTTAACATCCTAGTTATGGGATGCAGGTATTGCAAAAATACCAAAACAAAAGACAGCAAAATCAAGCTGAAGTTTTATACACATTTTTTCTCATTCAGATTACCTCTAAGCAGAGATTCTAAACCTTTAATCTGACATTTGTGTGTGTAAATAGAACAGGAGACATTTTATAAAGATTTGGGAAATTGTTATTGTTGATTCTTGTTTTGAGAACGAAAAAACATTCATTTTGACAAGCTACCATTTTAAACAAGGACACAGTGTCACTGATGTGAAGCAGTGCTCTAATAAAGCCTCTAAAGCTAATGATAATGCCTTGTGGTGAATCTTTACCCTGCTAAACATGAGTGAGTTACAAGTCAATTTGACAAATTTCACATCTAAAAATACTATAAAATTATTCTGCGTTTCACATATGACATTGCACTACATCCAATTAAACCAGGGTAATTATGTAATTTATCATGAAAAACGTGATTTATCACAATAATGATAGATATCGTCATATTGCCCACCCTTAATACCAACTCTAGAGTTCAAAGGGTCAGGCTAATGATGTTGTCCCAATGATGTCATTCAATGTTTATCTTATTGTTATTATTTTTGAAGTGCTCCAATTAAATTCTAACTCTTAAACAGAGGCTTGAGCAGAACAACAACCTCACCAAAATATGTCATGTTAAAAAAAACAGCTCAAAAATGATTTGAATAATCACTGCTAGATCAAAGTATCTTACTGGCCCTCCAAACACTTAGCATCGATATTAGCTTAATGGAGGCAGACAGCAATTCTCTGATGGTAATTTACAAAGATAATTACTGAGGTCAGTGTTTTCATTAAGTCTGTTCCTCTCAGCTGCTCAAATCACTACATCCCTTGTCTTTGTCTACCAGGCTGACTTATGGCTGTTCTAAAGAGCATATGGGCTGTGTGGGTGTACGGCAGCTGCTGAAGGGGACCCCAAAACTAGGCCCCCAAGCCTTTTGTTAGCTTTTTTTAGCGAGACAGGCGTCTGTGAAAGGACGTGTGTGCAGGGGGGGAAGGGGACGCTACGGAATAAAGGAGGGAAAAAGTGTTTTGCTGGACAGAGAAGTGTCTGAGCTGAGTGAACCAGAAAGCAATGTAAATAAATATGGTGAAGTACCTAAGCACAGTGTCAGTGGAGCAGCAGGTCTGAAGGGGGATGCTGTACCCCACTTCATGACCAATGTTCACGTCCATCTCGTCGGCCACGCGCAGGGCCAGCTCCACTGTGCTCTGTCGGTGTATCTGAGTGCAGACCACCATGCCGTTCTGGTACTGCACAGAGAGGCAAAACTCTGCACACCACTGAGGAATCTATAAGGGAAGGCAGAATACAGAAGATTCGAGCGCAGTCTCATGCAACTGTCCAGCACTCTTTGACCCAGATGCAGCGGACAGTGGAATCAGATCTGCTAAACAGGGAGTCATAACATTTAAAATGCATATTCAGAGTTCAGTTACATGAATAGTGTATGGCAGTATTTTGTGAGAGTAGCATCACATGCGAGATATGAAATATTGCAACAGATACCACAAGGGGTCCAAAACAAGAAAGAGACTTAATTTCATACCAATATAGGTTAACTGAGGTGTTGAATGCAAAAAAAATAAATAAATAAAATAAGGAACAAAGGAAGGAAAGGAGGCTACCTGAGTACTTTGTCCAGTTTTAGCTGTGCCACTGACAATGACGAGCTGGTTGTTGATAATAGAGTCCATGAACTCACACTTGGCTCCCCAAACTGAAAGTGCTTTTCTCTCCCTCAGCAGTTTGTAATATCGAGAGGAAAAAGGCAGCCCGTCGAACTGATTCAACTCGAGGAGATCATCACAATCCAAATCCTGATTTGCATCCATGTCTGCAAATTTCTCCATAAGGAGGCCTACCTGACGCGCCTTTCTGGCTAATAGGAAAAAAAAACAAAACGCAGAAGTTCCTCGCTAACGCTTATATTTTTCTGCCCATGTGTATGAATATCCGTATCTTTCTTTATCAGTACGGAAAACGTCAGTAAAAACGCGCTCGAACCGCAACAGTTGTTTATCTCAGCGCTCTCCTGCAGGACTGAGGCGAGCAGCGGCGGGGCGGGGCGTTCAGACCGGGCGGTCATGTGGCCGCTTAATCCTATCATAATAGAGCCGAACAGATCAGTGTGGGGACAGGAGAGAGATTATAATCACGCATTTCTGCCCCCAGTAAACCCAATAGAAGAGATTCCTGTAACCTTCAAAGTTGTTTTGTTCGCACATGAAAATAAAGAAAGCAGTTTCTACAAGGTTGAAGTTGGCTTCCTATTCGCCAGCTTCTTATTCGAAATTTCCCGTTCCACCTTAACTGATTAGATCCTGCTGCACCATTTGAGGTGGAACGGGAGAATTCGAACATGAAGCTGGCGAATAAGAAGCTGAATTTAGCTTCGTTCAGTGTCTAAAGTAAAAACGCTCGTGCTCGCACCCTGAACGACCGTTCCCATAGCAACGGTAAACGGAGCGGCCAGAAGTGCGCTGTGAATCCCAAACATCTGCAGCAGACACAACTGAAGGTCACGGATCTGGAGCGGACTGATTTAAACTCAACATTTAACACAGTGAAGTATCCATTCCTGCGATTGGACGGTAGATTAACGTTACAGTTTCTCTCGTCACGTTTTCTGAACTGCAGCAATGAATCCAGGTAGAGTTCATTTCCAATTTTTCTTTATTTTTTTTTAGAAGTGATAATTTGCGTAGCTAGCTAAAGCTGTCGTCACTCTGAGACACAGCACGTTTAAGTTTTTGGCGAAACAAAACGACCAAACGTACAAAGAATATGTCATGTGTGATCGTTTTTCTTGAACATGGAACTAAATGGAAACTTATTTTAATGCTAAATTAGTTTAGAAAATGAAACCTATGGTAAAAGTCTGTTTAGCCTGTCCACCTTATTCCTGCGCCACATGATGTTTTGAGTGCTTTATAGATTAAACTTCACGAAGCGTAACATTATGTTAAATGCTTATAACATCCTAGCATGTTAGAAATATGGAAATGAAATAAAAATATTAATTAATATTAATCAACTTTATTGTTGGGATGCTGGAATACTTCTGTGCTGATGTTGGTTGGTTAGCTAGCTTAATCGATCTGTCAACAAAAAAGTTGAACCTGCATTAGAAAAACGCTTTAGTCAAAGGATCCTATGCAATTATACACAATTATTCACGGTAATAAAGTCATTTCATTTAAACATTTTAACTGTTACAATGCTATTACCCAGCAGTGTCTGTTTTTTAAACTAGCGTTTCAATAATGTTACGTGTATTTTCACCATGTTCGCTAGCTAGCTAACCTAGTTAGGTTAGCTATGTTAGTGTTAAGCTAGCGGAGTTAGCTTGGCGCTATAAGGGATGTTTATGTCAGCTCTGGTTACAATAAAGACATTTTAAGCTCATAACAGGCATGTAAGTAACATATTTCACTTTGTATATCTTAGTTTTTAAGTAACGCTTTATTTAAGGCTTGAACTTCAAGCCTGTCTTTTATTATTGTAGCGTTGGGCTGTAAGCTGGTTAGCTGTCTGCTCCATGCTCAGCCTACTCTAGTGAGGGCAGAATCCTGTTATAAACAGAATATCACATGTAAAACAGTTAAAGCGAGTCTGTTAGGAGCAAACAGTGATTCTCAACTTGGAGTTCGTCATCTGCTTACATTAAATAGACAGATTTTAAGGTGTCACTTTGTCCTCTATGAACAGCAGGTACAATATGTTGTGTACCCTGCCTGGAACTTGTGCAGGAGGTTAGCAGTACCAACTAGATATAGTTGGGCTCTCCTCCATTCACAGTGTCGGCTCCAAACTCCTTGATAGGGCTTGGTCCCTCTCCTTCTCACGCGTTGCACAGAATGAGAGGTGCCGGGCGGGTATTGGGATACTCACACGCCCACCAGCTGGATTCTGTGCAGTTGCAGCAGTTTCTCCCGGTGGACGAGAAAATTGCAGGGAGGAAAACTCTTACTGTGCTTATGCACCAGACAACAGTTTGGAATATTTGGCTTTCTTGGAACGAGTGGGTGGGATTCTGGAAAAGGCCCTATGTACATAGACTCCATAGTCTTGCTGGGAGATTTCAATGCGAAAGAGTGTGTGCCAATTACTGGGGCATCATACTGCTTAGCCTCCCTGGGAAAGTTTATGCCAAGGTACTGGAAAGGAAACTCCAACCAACAGTTAAACCTCAGAATGAGGAGGAACGATGCAGATTCCGTCCCAGCCGTGGAACAGTGGACCATGTTTTTTATCCTTGCACGGATTGTTGAGGGGGCATGAGAGTTTGTCAGTCCAGTTTACATGTGCTTTGTGGACTCGGAGAAGGCTTATGACTGTGTTCCCCAAGATATTCTGTTGGAGGGGTGCCAGGGCCACTACTCCAAGCAATTCGGTCTCTGCACACCTGGAGTTAGAGCTGTGTCCGTATGCTTGGCATTAAGTCAAGCTCAATCAGTATGGGTGTTGGACTCCGTCAAGGTTGCAAGCAGGTTAAGAAGAAGAAGATAATGAAGATTTTAATGTCAACAACTGGGCTTTTTCTAACAAGTAACATTCTCATGTCTGCTGAAGCATTAAAGGCAGGTTAAAGATTAGACACAGCCTAGTTTGATAAATATATTGCTCTCAGGAATGGGCAAAACTGTATCAAAATGTATTTAATAAAATGCAAGATAGCCCAAAAGTAAATGATTCAAAATAAGCTACAAAACACTACAGCATAAAAGCTTAATAAATAGTTTATGAATGTGTATAAATAATCACTAATAAAAATTTAAAAAACTAATACATATTAAATCATTTACAATGAATGTTCACAAATATATGTACTTACAAAAAAAATATAATAATAATACCATCATTGTTAGTACTAAATGGTATTGTTGTTTACATAAATATTAGACTGTAGCTGCTAAATTAACATTTATTTCAAAATGTAAGTAGTGTAATGCGGTGCACCTATTTCCTAACTCCAGTCTTGGAGCCCCCTGCACTGGTTATTCATGCGTTTTGTCTTTTTAAATATGCGTGGTTCATATTGGCCAACTATTAACATATTCTTGAGCTGAATCAGGTGTGTTAAGACAGGAAAAAACAAAAGTGTGTGTGTGTATGTAAGTGTGTAATTGTGTGTGTGTGTGTGTGTGTGTGTGTGTGTGTGTTTTGGTGGGGGGCAAGGACTGGAGTTGGGAAATTTTGGCTCTAGCACATATGTATCATTTGTGGTTGTAAGTGATAAAGCCTACCACAGGGTGGCACTCAAGCATTGTATCAAATGCAGGTCTATAGGTTGCAACTGATTCCAACATAGCTTTTCACAGTCTGTCTTTATCTTTGCAAATATATCTTTGGTTTAGACCTGTTTCTTAGTTTTTGGGGTGTTTTTTTTGGGGGGGGGGTAGGTTGTGGGTGGTGCAGAGGAGAGATCATTATTAGGCCTTTGTAAAGCTGATGTATTGGGCGTTTTCTAATTGTCTTGAGGCTTTGTTACCTCTCATAGTCTCATTCTGCTTTGTTGTAGTTTCAATCAGAGGAGGCTGCAAGTCCTCTGAACCCCTCATGGTTGGTAACATCAGTCATCACAGTATTGAGCTAATTTGGGGAAGTGGTGAGAAAGAGCGTAGTGGCCCTACTGAAAGCTGGACTCGCTTTGCTGTGGAGGAGATGGACCGCAAAACACATACATATGGCACCATATATGTGTGAGTCTCTGCTTATTTGTACTAAACTTTAGTTAACATTAGGCGATTTATACAGGCGTATCACATCAATGTGTTCTTGTATAGGCTGTGCAGACAAGCTCAAAAGGCTGAAGCTGCCTGTATAGGTATAAGTCACCAGCTGTTTCCTCCTTTCTTACCTTGGCTTGCTTTTTTATCTCTGGATATAAATCATATTTAGACACTGTTTGATGACCCAGAAAAGAATTTGGGCATTATGGGAATTCAAGGAGCATTACACTAGTAATTAAGATAAATTAGAGATTTAATTCCTTAAATAAGGTGAATGGGCTGTTTTTGTGTATAGGTATTTTTATATGTTTCCCAGCTCTGCTCTGCTCTGTCTGTTTGTATTTATTTATGTTTTATGTAGATGTTTGTTTTAGCACCTGTTTGATGTTTGTTATTTTGCCCCAGTGGATACAGCACCCATCATGTTGTTGAGGGACTAGAGCCCAGCACACTGTACAAGTTCAGACTGAGGACTACCAGACCAAATGGGGAATGCTGCCTTAGCCCTGCTGTCTCAATCTCCACATCTCGTGAGTCTGGTCTTTTTTAGTTGAACACTCTTCATTTCATTCTCAGGTGTAAAGTTACTGCAGTGTTTTCCAGCCAAACACACTTGATCTGTATAGTCAGCTAATTAACAAGCCCTAGAGCAGGAAAAACACTGAAATGTGCAGAGAAGGGAGGGAAATTACTGTGTGCAAAATTTAAACAGACATTCCATTTTCAATTTGTATGTTATTTGTCATGTTATGTAATATTCTGTAGCCTCATTAGTTTGACAGAGTTCACTTTTTGTGTTTTCTTATATACATGTTTTAGTCCATCAGCGTTCTCTCACTACAATACCCAGCATGCATTGTGCAAATACATCATACAACAAGTGGAAACCCTCCCCCACAGCCATAAAGAAATCCTGGCTGCTAGCCTAGCCACTGATGTAGAGCCTGATAAATTAAACTGGCTAATTAAATTGGCTTCTTCCAAATGTTCCCCTCACCTTCAAGCTACACCATCAGAAGGAGGTTTTCCTTTTCTTTAAAACTGAAAGTCTTGCTCAGGAGATTAATGTGGCACTGCTTTAGACGACAAGTAGGCATGTTTTCAACATTTGTAGCAGTGGTTACATTTTGAATTTTGTCCCTTTAAAATGGAAACAGGCAGCTCTGTTTATCAGTCTGCTGCACTGTTTGTAGTTCTTTTGCAAAACTGAATAAAAGAAAATGAGTGATGGAGTTCGCTGAACTGCTTGTGGTTAGAAAGGGCAGAAAAGCACTACAGTAACAGGAATGAAACCTGTAATAAAAGACTTGCTAAAGTTCTGGTTTTAGCAAAAACATTATTGCGTTACTGGATTTGTATATTGTTGATTTTTTTTCTTTTTTTAAAAATTGGAACACTATGAAAAATGACCTGAGTGTAAGAACACTAATCTTAAGACCAGCTCACATCATATGCGTAGTTCCAGAGCAGTATACTTACTCTGAGAAATCTAATGATTACTGGCCCTGATCTAAATTTCAAATTGATCTGATACAAATCTGATAGATGTTTTTAATCTGCCAGGCCCATTATGCTCTTCGAGTCTTGCTGTCACCACTAACAAGCACACAATGCAGCCTGGAAGACATTTCCATGGTTACTCAGTATTTGCCAACTGAAACCAAACATATCAGTTAATTGACCTGTCAATATAACACTCCTCAGGGGAGCCACTGAGCGGCAAACACCTCCACCAGGCTGTGAACAGGAACGATGAAGAGGAACTGAAGCGAGTGCTGCAGTCTGGGTGAGTGGGCAAAAGCATTGTCTCTGCTTAGAGAGCTAAAAATCACAGCAAGTTCCAGCAGATATTACACATTACATATTCAGACGATACAGAGATATTTTTCCTATTGCACTGCAGATGCACACATGCATTTAAATACAGGCTGGTAAAAACAAGAGCACTAGTATATAAGCTGACCAGAAACACATGCTATAAACTGTTGTAGATAATGTCAAAAAAGACAGCAGTCGAAACAAAATGTTCTCATGAGCTCAAGTCTTAATGTAAATACATTCAACTTTTCGGGAGTTATTTTACAGAGTGACCCACTAATCTTCTCACATGCCTGACTTCCAACAGCACAGTGAATGTGAATGTTTGTGACAAAATGGGCCTCACGCCGCTCATGGTAGCAGCACAGAAAGGTTTTGGCAGGTAAAAGTGCTCCTTTTTCAATGAAATGTTCTCTAATAAGTTGATGAAAAATAAGGTAAAATGAGCATTAGAAAGTTTAATCACTTGTCAACTACATAACAAGTTCTCTTGTGTTAGAAATCTATTGCATGTGTTAGGAGTGAAAATATTCCCAGAATCCATCACTTACGAATATTTTGAACTGTAGGTTGGTGCATAAATTGGTAGAACATGGTGCGGATATTCACATAAAGAATGGCACAGGCAAAGACTGGTAAGTTAGAAAAAGCATTTTTATGACACAAAGAATAGAATCTCTTAAAGAGGAATTTTTCAACATTTTTGCATAATTCAAGCACTGAGATGTAAACATCATTCAGAGTGGTTTGATTTACTACTGCCATTTTATTTACACATTTATTTTTATATCTAAAATGATAAGTGAAACATCTAAGGTTTTATATGTAATGCTGATAATGGTAAAAAAAAGTTTTCAGTAACACTTTACTGGGCAGTATTCATAAGGCTGAATGACAACTACATAAACAACTACAACTGACATACACGTACATTAACATTTATTAAGGCTTATTCCAGCAGGAGTCGTCTGTCTTAAAGGCTGCGTTTGTCAACTTCGATGCCAAGGTGATATAACGTCAGTACAAAATGGCATCACTTTTTTCTGATGCTGGGTTGGGTTGTGACACTTTCTTAAGACAAATGGCGGCACATTATAACAACTGATGCTGTAGCAGTGTATCACACTGACATAACGCTTAAGATGTGACAGCCTAAATCTTAAAAATGATCGAATGAAACTCACCTCTACCTGAGGGCCACAGAAAAGGCTCACTTTGTTTCAGCCAGCTCGTCTTGACATGTTACGTCAACTTGACATCAAAGTTGGCAAATTCAACTTCATGAAAAAACCTTTATGGCAAATGATTCTGGTGAAAATCCTCCTATTTTGCATTCCTTTCTAATTTAATAGAAAGATTTTCATTAGATTTTCATCAGATTATATTATCAGCATAACAATTTGAAGTAAAGTCTTCAATAAATCAGCAGCATATTCGTAATCATTTCATGTGAATGGCTTTCTGTGAGGGTGCTTTTAGCTCAGAAGCATTAAACACTTCAGACGTCTGGTTACTGTCACCACTGCTGTGAACAATTCTGACTCTGCAAGTTTCTTTAAAAAAAGAGCTCTAAATGATTTTTCTTAACGATCTAGTAATGCACACTCTATGAATCATCATTAAATCCCCTCTAAAATATTTTGTAAAAAGTCTTAAATTGTGTGTTTCTCTCAGTCTAATGTTGGCCTGTTTTGCTGGACACTTGGACATTGTGAAGTACCTGCATAAGTGTGGGGCCACATGGCAATCTCAGGACAAGGGTGGATGCACCCCTCTCCACTGGGCTGCAGATGGGGGCCACCTTCCTGTTATAGCGTACATGATTCAGGATGGCTGTGAGGTCAGAAGACACCATACAAGCTCATCTTCATTTTGTCTTGTAATCTACAGCATCTTAAAGAAATGCTTCAGTGTTTTTCAACCTAATTTATATCTGTCAGTTTATCAGTCGTGTCAGGACTCTACCTTTGATTACCATAAGAATAATGTTTCCTCGTAGTTAGAAAATAACAGAAAGCCCATTGACATAAAAACACACAATTTGGCAGTTGCTGAAGTTCTGTAAATAAACATTTGAAGTACTTGACTATATAACATGAATTTGAAGCTATAGTCAGTACAGGCGTTACAATAAGACATGACAGAATGGCTTATTGAATTTGTGCTTATGAAGTTTTGTCCAATTTCGAATACTGGAACAGCACAGTCAAAAAAAAAAAAACAGATTACTTTAGATATGATATCCAAGTACAATCAGTCACAAGCTGGTAAAAACATCACCCACACTACTACACTGGCCACAAATTCTTCCCTTTGGAAAACGTTTTTCATCTCTTACAGGATTAGTTACGCAGATTTATGGCTTTTTTGTTTACTTAAGAATTCATGAAAGAGAAACACTTAGTTACAGAATTCAGCAAGTGCTCGATCGTTTCTATTATGTTTTAAATCATCTGTCTTCTGTTCTTTTCTAAGCACAGAGAAATGCATCAAAGTTATTGTCCCTGGTAATCTACACTGCCTTTCGTAGACTACAGATAGGTTGTTAGATTTGGTTGAAAAACGCTGGAATCTTCCCTTGAGTCATTCATTTTGGAACCATACCAAGTATTGTAGGATTTTTCTTGCTGTGTATAAGCCACAGGTTCTCACCCCTGGTCCTGTGTACCCCCTGCCCTGCACACGTTTTTGTGTTTTCCTGCTCTAAAACACCCAGTTCAACTCAGGTAGGGCTTGCTAATTATCTGCTTAGTTGAATCAGGTGTGTTGGGAGCAGGGAGAGGTGGGCAGGGGGTACTCCAGGAGTTGGGAACCACTACTTTAAGCTACAGCATTACTCCTGTAATGTGTGTGTTGTGTATGCTTTGTTTTAGCTGGATGTGAGGGATTCTGTCTCTCACTGGACTCCTCTCATGAGGGTGTCAGCACTGAGTGGAAATGCTGCAGTGGCCTCACTCCTTATTCGTGCTGGCGCTGATGTCAATGTCCGCGACAAAGATGGAAAGACTCCACTTATGGTACGGTCAGCAGAAAGCACTGGTTCTCAGGATGTGATTTAAAGTATAGAAAATATATAGAAGCTCATTGTTAAAGCAGTGTGTCTCTAAATTAGGTGGCTGTACTAAACAATCATGAGGAGCTGGTGGAACTCCTGCTGGACAAGGGTGCCGACCCCCATGTGAAGAATGAGGTGTAAAAAGAAAATGCCACTTACATTTGCAATGTGTATTGCCTTAAGCTTGAAAAGAGTACAAGGCATGGAACAAATGAGTTCTATGCCGTTTACTCCCTCATATGTTCCTCGTTTCCTAAGGCTGTGTTTTTATCCCACTCTAGTTTGGATCAGGTGCAGCAGAAATGGCCAAAGCGTTCGGAAGGCAGGTAATTTAAATCAACAATGAAAAGAAGTTTGCTCTTTTTGTGCTTTTGTATTTTATCATGGAATCATTTTTTTCCCTTTCTGTTCCAGAATATCATCAACTTGTTGGAGGGCAAGAAGATACTCTAGATTGGCATTAACATCAGAATAACAAAACAAAAACACTAATATTGACTTTCTGTAGAATTTTTTTAGCATAAAAAATAGTTTTATATGCTCATACATGGTTACATTTAGGAATATTTCACATAATGTTTTGATGTAATAAAACCGTTGTCCTTTGTTTTCATTTTGGAATGGAATTTCCATGATCCAAGTGTTAGTGAAACATTCATTTACATAGAATACACAAACAGTAGGCAATGATGCAAATTAAAGCCTTGTTTATTCATTTGTTCTATTATTCTGTTGAAGCCTTTGAATACTGAAGTGTTTGAATGATACCAAGTACCCAGTTACCTTTCAGGTTCACTGGCAAAGAAAATGGAAATGAATAACAATTTGCTTGGTAATATAAAAGCGAAGACATAGTGAAAAAAAAAAATCAGTATAAAAACGGAAAGTTCATCTTGATGGCAAAGAAATGGCTTCCCTTTATGGTATCTATCAAAAAGCGGCTGAGAAAAGTGCCATGGATACTTACATAGAAAACAAACCCACAAATTAACTCACACAATTGTATTCAATTTAACAGGCCTTCATACACAAATATGCCTTTTACTAAAGCATGTGAAACTAAGTTAAAAACTAAGAAAAATGGAAAAGTAAAAGCATTTCAGCACAGCACTGTCAATGCGAGTCTGTGTCATATTTCTAAACCGTAACAGTAATGAAGATGTCAGCAATACATACAGAATGGTAAAGTATAAAAAGAAAAAAATTCAAAGCAAAATTACTAAAAATTACATCAACAGCTAAAACAAGACAATGGCTGCTATATGTGCTGGTTTTCCTTAAGCAGTATAGTTCCATCAAATAGAAGCCAAGTTAAATTTGTCCCTCAGCTGTTGAAGATCTTGAGTCTGAACACAGTTAGTGCTACAGTATGTCATGAATGCAGCTGTGAATCTGCAGGGAATGATGGGAAAACAGTGCCATGTGTTGGGCAACGGAAGTCCCAGTGTTGCAGAATCTTGCACCAGCATTTGCATGTTTTATGTGTCTTTAAAGCATGCTGATGCACATATTCACATTACATTGCAAACACTTCCAGTGGTAGAGTCAGAAAACCCCACATGCCTAACTGGGAATACAGGGCATATTACTACTAACTAAAGCTGTGACTAAACTTTCAAAGGATTTTATATCTATGCTTGAATGAGCCAAGCTTGGTCTTTTATGAAGGTCTGCTCCAGCATTAATCATGTTTATAAAGATGTAGCAAAAACTGTGACATCTTTATAACTTTTTTCTTGCTGTAAGGACTAGAAATGTAATTTCATTTAGGACTTGATTCAGCTTAATAGCTCCAGTTTTGTAACTACGAGTACTTTCCAAACATGCTTGAGCATAAGAACAATGTAATCCTGTGCTGGACTTCAAGTCTGTGGAACTTATGTAAACATTTTAGTGAGTTCACACATGGTTCCTCAACATAGGGCATATGACAACTGGGTTTTTTAAGTGTATGGATGGTTAATGCAATGGAAACAATCCACAGATGAGCTGGACTACAGCAACATTTGTTCAAATTCTTCTTCAACTTGCTTTAATATTCTAAATAAATCTTGTGGTGTTCATGCTCAAGTTCCACTTACTTGTAAGTAGGCCCGGTTCTGTTATTCACAGCACCCACTCACAATTCTTTGTTAAGTAACTTCACAGGTATTTCCCCCAGTACGTTAGGAGACAAAGTAAGCATGAATAAAAGCCTTTACTCCTGTGATGTGGAATCAACAAGTGTCCGTAGTGTGGAAAAAAAAGGAGTAGCACAAACATGGTAATAAAAAGTTCACAATAATGCTACCATACAAAAAGTGTTGACCACAGTGCATGTGTTCTTCGGACAATAAATATACATCTTAAATAGTTCTGCAGTACCTGAGTGAGGACACTGAGCACCTTTTCTGAGGCACAGCACCGAGGCTCAGTTTCCTTCTCTCTGAGATTCAGAGACACTCTAAGGAGTTCCGCAGGAGTGACCAGTGGGTCCAATAGAGTTTTCATAGTGCAAATAAATGTGTTCATACGCTGGTGGAATTTGTCCTCATCTCATGGGGAACTTATGTCAGCGCTCATATAGAGACTGTGGTAGCCTTGGTGGGGGCCTAAAAAGTCAACCCAAAAACACTTGTTAATTTGCTTAATAGTAATCTTCAAATTTCTTATCACAGTTGGTAATGTGGATGGCATTATAATTTCATATAATTTCATTCATTCATACTGACCTGGCTGGTTGTGGTATAGTAGGTGAGGGGATCAGTACGGTTGGGATTGGAATAGGTAAGGGCACAGGACTATGTGTCTGCACTCCAACTGCTGATGTGCTCCGACCCAGCCTGGAACCTCTAACCAGGGGGTCTGCGGGCAGCGGCTTCTTGGGAGGACTGGGTTTCTCGTGGTCCTGTACACAACAGCAAAAAAATATAATGTAGCATTTATGGCTTTTTTAAAATAACCGGGTGAGAGGCACCTGGGCTGTGATCTGACATACATTTTTTTGAAGCTAGGCCAAAGAACTTTCACTAGCCTATGCTGCGCATACACTGATGAGCCAAAACATTATGACTACACATGATGAAGAAAATAATGTTGATTATCCCATAACAACAGTACATGTCAAGGTCTGGGATATGTTAGATGGTAAGCGAACAGTCGGCTCTTGTAGTCAACATGCTGGACGTTGGAGAAATGGGCAGGTGAGCAGGCCTGAGTCACTGGGTAGACGACTAGGTTGGAGCACTTCCGAAATGACAAGGCTTGAGGAATGCTCTCAGCAGTGGTGGGTACCTACTGGCAGTGATTAGAAGAGGGACAAACCATAAACGGGCAACAGTGCTGGGTGCCCAAGGCTCACTAATATCCCGTCTGGTTCGAGTCGGAACTGGCCTTTGAAGCAGTGGAAGAAGGTGCAGGGTCCGATAAGTTTCCTTTTTTTACATCATGTGGACAGCCAGGTATGTGTGCGCCATTTACCTGGAGAGGTGATGACAACAGTATACACTGGGTAGAAGACAAGCCAGTGGAGGGAGCGTGATGCAATTGGCAATGTTCTGCTGGGAAACTCTGGAACAAGGCATTCGTGTGGACGTCACCTACTGAAACATTGTTGTGGACCAGGTACACCCTTTCATGGCAATGGTATCCCCAATGGCAGTGGCCTCATTCAGCAGGATAATGTGCCCTGCCACATTGCACACGTTGTTTGGGAATAGTTTGAGGAACATGATTAAGAATTTAAGGTGCTGCCCTGGCCACCAATTTCCCCAGATCTTAATCCACTCGAGCATCTGTGGGTTGTGCTGAAACAACAAATCCAATCTGTGACGGCTCCACCTTGCAACTTACAGGACTTTAAGGATCTGCTGCTAACGTGTTGGTGCCAGATACTATAGATCATCTTTAGGGGTCTTGTACAGTCCATGTCCTAGCGGTTGGAGCTGTTTTGGTGGCGTGCAGAGAATCAAAATCATACTAGGCAGGTGGTCATGTTTTGGCTCATGTATATTCTTGATATGAATTATTATCCAGCCCATACTGTTGTATGAAAACAGAGATGCCTGAAGTATCTTAAAGACCTACTGGGTTTACCTACATCACAAATTGCCAAAAGAAATACTTCAATGAAAACTACTTCAATGTAAACAAAGCACAAATCCACTAGATGGTGCTCTGTTGCTGTCTGTTGCAGGAGCCACTGTGACATTGCTTGCCTAGCGCTCTTTCATCAAGCTGGTACTGTTGCAGCTGTTGTTACCCCAGCAGCTCTAGGGCACGTGCAAAAAGAAAAAGTTGTCATATGTTGCTAATTTATTCCAAGGGTGAGGTAATGACACACATCTGCTACTTGTTTTACAGGAGGTCCCAGACAACTTGTACAAAGACAGAGAGAAATTAACAAACCTTCAATGCTAGCCATGGGTCCATTTCTGAAAACATTACTGACCATTTTTGTTTGATTCTGAAATGGTGATTAACTTGCCCCGGGAAGTAGGTCATGTGCTCATCCCACTGAGCCTCTGTCCCCCAGCATCTCCAGCGCCAGACACTGTGTGAAAGTGGTTTTGCGCTAACATTTCTTGAGCAAGACTCTTCCCTAGAGAATGTGATGTCATCACTGCATTATGGGAGCTTTTAGTCATGCATGCATAACACTGTGTTGAGCTGTGAGACCAATTTGCTGCAGCGCCTGAAGACGTGAACCCGTTTCAGGACTCTCACAGTAAATGTTGACTCAGTCAAGCAGCACAGGCACTCGAGGGTACCAAGTCAACCAAAGTGCTCCCATAATTTCATAGGTAAGTGCTTTTGCACTTACTCATGCTAACTATGAGATCATCACTAAGAGCCCCTGCTCATGAAATCCAAATTGGCCCAGTGGCATACAGAGTATGCTCTAAGTAACTTGAAATGGACTTTAATCTGGTAATTTTTGCTTGTGCATGAGCCACTGCTGCATATTGTTTAAGTTGTTGTAGTGAGTCTTTGTTATGAAAATGCATTTTTATACTTGGCATGGGTCTGTTGTTGAAGATCATTTACTCCTCAGTGTGACTAAGGCTGGACTGGAAGATTAGCTACAAAAAAAAAAACACTGTGGTGCAGTTAGCAAGCTAGATAACTTGCCAACCATAAACAGCAGAAATACGAAAGGAAAAACCACTGTGGATACATTTTTAGTGACTAAAAAAAAAAAGATCAGCATTTTAAGGCAGTGGTTAGCAAATCCGAAATCATTGTAGAATAAGATGATTCTTAAACAGTGGAGTTAAGATGATCTTAAATTTAAGATGCCTTTGGGAAACTGGGCCCTGCGTACTGGGCTGACCTAGAAACACACAGCCAAACAGACTGTAGGCTATTTCTTGTTGTCCTCTTGTTGTAGGATAACAAAACATGTAGTATGTATTTAGATTTTCTTGCGTTATAAAATAATCCATTAAAAACATGCATTTGGATGTTTGAGTTCCTCTGATGGGTGGTTTGTTGCCTTGAGTGATGAGGTAGTCAAATGTTGCCGCTATACAGGGTGGTGTGAAACCTTAC